GTCCAAGAGAACAAATACAGGACTTAAGTACCAGAGGGCCTTCTATGAAATACTTGGCTCCAGAGAACAAATCAGAGTGGGTGGTTGAGAGGGGAAAAATAGAGTTAAACATTTCCTCTGAGCAAAGAAGAATGGACCCAGGCCCAGGGTTATAATTCATGGGGCCTCAGATGAATCTCCAGCTGCTTCAGCTGTCTCCACATCTGGGAGAAGACTGGCCAAGGAATTCAGCACTGGTGGAAGCCCGGAGATGATGCAGCTCAGTAGGTCAACACTCCCCAAGTCTTCCAAGAAGCTTCCTTGAACCCATGCCTTTTCTAGATGTGGTATGCTTTGCCCATCTCTGTGGCACAGTTTCCACGAAGAGCACTCAAACACATCTGGGGCTTTTAGAGATCTGTGACAAAGAATGCTAAAGACATAAAGCATCCAAAATAGTAAGTTCTTAAATTTCTTTTCTGTGACAACCTAATCTGAATCCTAACATGATAAACCAATGAATTAATACTGTTTGATCTGAGGAATAGGAAGACTTCCTTCAGTCCCTTCCCTCCCCATTAAAATATTGCCTAGACCATAGAGCTTGTTTCTTATTTCTTTGCCTACCCACTCTCTTTCTCCTTGATTTTTTCCACCCATTTGGAGAGAGAGTCCAGGATGCCTGGTTTTCCAGGTAGGCAGGTCCTCACACTGAATAATCACAATCTGAAAGAAGTGAAGTCTAAGTCTCCAAAACGAATCCTTGTAGCTGCCTCCTCTGTAGATGCCTCCATGCATCATCCCTTTGGGCTGATTTTCTTACTGGAACCTTCTGCACGCACTTGACTCAGCCAGCAGTCAACACCTCTTCTGGGGACTGTCATGGAGGCTGACATAAAAGTAAAGGAAGCCCAGGTTTTGGTGAGTTTCTAGTCTAGTCCTGTGTGGCCATAGCCCAGTCTAAGAAAAGGGTTTAACATTTGATTAGCAAAAGACAAGTTCGAATAGAAATTCTTATGCTAGAAATGGGATAAGCATACACTGTAGGAATTGAGAAACAAGGAGCAAAACTGTGTGGTTTGAGTTAAATTAAGTGGTTTCCTGGACGAGGTGAGAGTGAAATACGCAGGCTCCAAAGAGACTGAGAGGACATCCTAGATGGAAGAAATGGTTTACATGAAGTTATGCATGTTGAAACCACAGCTTCTGGTCAGAAGAAGGCAAGCTAGCTAATTTAGCTAGAGCCATATTTTTGTGTAAGGGGTGAAGAGAAACGAGTTTATGACCTGAGCAAAGCAGCTGGCCAGGTAGCCTTAGACAAGTAACTATCTCTCTCGCCCTCATCTGCCTCAACCAGGAAATGAGTGGGTTAGGTGACTAGGGCACTGGGTGAAGGTTTCCATCAGAGGTGAAGAGAGTTAATAATTATGGGAGCAGTGTGTCAGGTACTCCAAACTCTCCTAAAATTTCGTCTTGCCCTCCCCATTTCAGAGACGAAGTATTTCATCCAGAGTTTTGTAGACTGTGAGTGACCAAGCAGGGACTAGTGTTGAGTCAATTTCTTTATCCACCATAAATGAATAGCTCCCATTTGCCAAGCACTGAACCAGGCCCTGGGAGACATAACAGTGAGTGGGACAAATACAGTTTCGCTCTCATTCTACTTAGGGTGTGGGGGAGGATATAAAAGTCAATAAAAAAGTAAATATCCAAGTGAATAAAGCAGGTTTAAATAGAAGTACATGCTAAGGAGAAAATAAAATATGGAATCATGGTCATGATTTGGGGCTTCTTAGGTCAGGTGGCCTAGGAAGGTCTCTCTGAGGAGGTGGCAAACCTGGGTGGTGACTGGAAGGGCACGAAGAGGTCTGCCTAGTTGGTAAAGGGCAGAACTGGCCAAGCTGAGGTATTCATATTTGACAGCATGGATGAGGTCCCCAGTCTTTCTTTCTTCTGGAGAAGGAGTTGAAATTATTTTCCAAAGATCTTAAGATGGTGGAGGACAGGGAAAAGCAAGAGGGTGGCAGCATCAGAGTCCTAATATGGAAGTGGGGTGGCCAAAGTGACATCAGAAATTTCTGAGCAGGGTTGGGAAAGGTCGTTTCCATTCACTTCCATCCCTTGCCCATTAGCAATACCGGAGGCTTCAGAAAGTGATGATGACAGTCATCTTGGAGGGCCAAGTAAGGCTTGGTAATAATATTAATATTTATAATAATAATAGTTAATAAGAATATTAGCTATTAGATAACATTTAAGGAACTTTTTTAAAAAAAAAGATTTTATTTATTTATTTGACAGAGAGAGATCACAAGTAGGCAGAGAGGCAGACAGAGAGAGAGATGGGGAAGCAGGCTCCCTGCTGAGCAGAGAGCCTGATGAGGGTCTTGGTTCCAGGACTCTGGGATCATGACCTGAGCTGAAGGCAGAGGCTTTAAGCCACTGAGCCACCCAGGCGCCACATTTAAGGAACATTTTAAAAAATATTTCTTTATTTTAGAGAGAGAGTGCATGAACGGGGGGAAGGGCAGAGGGAGAAAGAGAGGGGAAGCCGACTTTCTGCTGAGTTTGGAGCCCATGTGGGGCTCAATCCCAGGACCCTCAGTTCATGATCTGAGCTGAAACCAAGAGTCAGACACTCAAGCAACTGAGCCACCCAGATGCTCCAAGAAACATTTTTTATGTACTAAGCATGTGGGAGTACTTTTAAAGCATTAACTTATTTAATCTTCATAGTAACTATAGGAGAAATATAGTATTATTATCCTAATTGTAATAAAGATGCTGAGGTTTAGGGAGGTACAGTCGCTTACCCAAGATTGCACAACTGAGATGGGTGGAGCAAAGGTGCACATCTGGGTCCTCTGAGCCTAGGCTCTTGATCATCCATAGGCTTCAAACAGTCACGTAGTATTTGATCTGGAAGTGAACTTAGATATCATAGAGATAAGAAATTTATAATTCGGTTCTCTGAGAGAAGACCTCTGATTTAGGATAATCCCTCCTCTTTTGACAGATGAGAAAATTAAGAGTCAGAGTATCAGATTAGTGATGGAAATGGAAGGTTGATGCTGAGTTCTGACTTCTGCTTGAATGGTCTTTGTAATCTATTCCACCGAACCCTTAATTATGCAGATCGTGGTTAGGAACCCTGACAGAAGTGATTGCACAGAATCATAGCCTCCAAGAGGGGAGAGACAAGCATGAAATAAGATAATGCACATAAAATTCTTGTTTTGGGCTCAGCGCAGAGTAAGGGCTCAGTGCATGCCCAAGCCTTTGAGAAAGTCCATATGGCTGGTTTCTGTGCCCAGTGGCGAGAACAGCTGGGCCACGAATGGGGAAGGGGAAGCAAGACACACAGGTGGAGAAGGGCTTCCTCTCCCTGAGCCTGCCATCTTGATTGATGTGCCACAGTTCTTACCAAACCCCATCCACCACAGTGAAAGTAAAATGTCTTTAGAAACCTTGTAACCCATCATTAAAACTGCTGGGTGTACGAAAGCAATTGCTTGCCCTAAATAAGTGACTTATGATTGCCCTTGGTTTGTCTGAGTTTTCCTTTAATTATAGGCCCTCTTGAAACACTCAAACACACAGGGCCTTTGTAAATTTGTATCCCTTCTCTCTCACATACGATCCTCCCAAATGCACATACTCCCTTGCATTTATAGAGCATAAACACCCATCTCTTACTCATTCACATAATGAATTTCAGCCCCATGCATCTCAATTGAAGAGGGGCCCAGGAGAATTATGGGTATCTGAGCAGTTTTCCTGTTTCAAGGCACCACAGGGCTCTTGGAAGAGCGGGTCCTTTACGGGGAGAAGATAATGGGCAAAAAGTGCTCTTGACTGATAGACCAGTCCGAGCATTCTCTTTCCTATAATAATAGAGTTGTTTGCTTGAGCCATTCCCTAACCAAATTTCAAATTTCTTCCACCCCACCCCACTTTAGGCTTCAAATTATTGCACCCCCCACCCATCCTCTTTCCTTGCGAACTCAACTTGATGTCTTTTGGTTTTGGAAAAACTTTGTAGGTATTAGGAGAGACTAGGAAAGTCTTCCGTCCTCTACTTGGATTTCTTCCTTGTCAGAAGAGAGAAACGGATTTTACGGAGAGGTACAGAGTGTCTTGGGGACCAGTGCCTGAAACAGGGCTCCTCAGAACTAAATGGGAACTCATAGCTTGATGGTCTTGTCCCCACCGATCCACACTCAGCCTTCCCTTCCAGTGTCCTAGATGACACCTGGTCAAGGATTTGATGAGAGAAACTCTTGGAAAAAGTACTGGTAGATTTCCCTGTTGCCCACCCTCACTCAGTCCCTCTCCAGCAGGAGGACAACCTCTTTCTTTACATCCCCTCCAGGCATTGGTGCTGGTCCAGTGGTCTCTTTCCTTCCCCAAGCCCTGGGTGATAGTGGTTACCCATTTGGTGGTGTAAGAACTCCCACTGGGACCTGTTTCAAGGTCCTGTTGTGATGTCCCTGAATGGGGAGGGACTGATTGTCCAAATCCCTGAAAACTTAAACTCTGCACCAGCTGTCATCCCACCATTGCCCCAGGGAAGATGGCGGGCCCACAGGGCCCTGGGTTTGAGACAGGTTCTCCATGTTCCTGGGAATTTGCCTTCTAACGACAGGACATTTACAGGGACAGTTCTTGGTTCTGGGTCTTTTAGGGAACACTATGATGAAGAAACAGCAGGGATGTTTCAAGGGGTGGGGGTGGGGGATGAGGCCAGCCTGGGAGGGGGCGGTGGTCTGTGGGGAGTCTTTATTCTCAACTCCTGACCTTGACTGCCTTGAGAGAAAGTCTTGGACCCAGGGAGCAGACAGATGTCGGTCGGGACAGAATTAACTGATGTGTGAGGGCACTGGGGCAAAACGCTAGGGCAAAATGCGAACCGAGACACTAAGGCTGGTTTCTCTAGCCAGCCCACGCCTCCTGCCTGGGCTCAAGGCCACTCCCTCCCCGCCAAGTGGCTCTCGGTTCTGGAGGCGGGACTGAGTTCTCCGGTGGCCCCTGGAGGCTCGGGGCTGCAAGCTTTGGGAGGCTGGGAGGGGAGAAAGGGAGGGGCGCTGACTGGGCAGTCCAAAGAGGAGGGGGCCTTTAATAGGCTCGCCCAGCGCCTGGTTTGCGGCGCCGCGAGAGGCTGCGGCTCGAAGAAGCTGCCCGGCACCTCCCTCTAGTTTTCCGCTGCAAATCTCCGTCCTTGCACTTGACAGCGATTGTACTTAAGCTCCCAGAGCGCGCTTTGCTGTGGAAAGGCACAGGTAGGAGGCGCGGGCTGCTCGGTGCACGCTCACTCCTCTGGGAGGAGTTTCTCTCCCTTTGCTCTGCTTTCCGGGAGCTACTGACTGCCCCGGAGCGTTGGTGGTTCCCCTGTGCCCGCTGCAAGGAGACTCGCCGGCGGGGGAGCGGGGCCGAGCCCTTCGGAGAGCGCGGCTGTGCGCTGCCCGGCGCCATGCTTCTGCTGGGTATCTTAACCCTGGCTCTCGCCGGGGTACCTGCAGGCGGGTCAGAGCTAGACCAGGAGGTGGTGGTCCCCATCCGACTGGACCCGGACATCAACGGCCGCCACTACTACGGGAGGGGTCCCGAGGACTCAGGGGATCAGGGACTTATTTTTCAGATCACAGCATTTCAGGAGGACTTTTACCTACACCTGACTCTGGATGCTCAGTTCCTGGCGCCCGCCTTCGCCACAGAGCATCTGGGCGTCCACCTCCCGGCACTCACCGGGAGCTCTCCAGACTTGCGACGTTGCTTCTACTCTGGGGACGTGAACGCCGAGCCAGATTCCTTCGCCGCTATGAGCCTGTGCGGGGGTCTACGCGGAGCTTTTGGGTACAGAGGCGCCGAGTATGTCATTAGTCCGCTCCCCAACGCCAGCGCGCAGGCGGCACAGCGCAACAGCCAGGGCGCACACCTCCTCCAGCGCCGGGGCGCCCCCGGCGGGCCTCCGGGAGATCCCACCTCTCGCTGCGGGGTGGCCTCAGGCTGGAACCCTGCCATTCTGCGGGCGCTGGACCCTTACAAGCCGCGGGAGGCCGGCTTAGGAGAGAGTCGCAGTCGGCGGAGGTCCGGGCGCGCCAAGCGCTTCGTGTCTATCCCGCGTTACGTGGAGACTCTGGTGGTGGCGGACGAGTCAATGGTCAAGTTCCACGGCGCGGACTTGGAGCATTATCTGCTAACGCTGCTGGCCACGGCGGCACGACTCTACCGCCACCCTAGCATCCTCAACCCCATCAACATCGTCGTGGTCAAGGTGCTGCTTCTCGGAGACCGTGACACGGGGCCCAAGGTCACGGGCAACGCGGCCATGACGCTGCGCAACTTCTGTGCCTGGCAGAAGAAGCTTAATAAAGTGAGTGACAAACACCCAGAGTACTGGGACACAGCCATCCTCTTCACCAGGCAGGTGAGTTGACCTGTCACCTTTTTGGACCCCAGTAGCCTCATTTTCTTAGGGTCACCGCCCTTAGCTCCCCAGATGCCCTTTGTGCCTAACAGGTGAGCGGGAAAAAATTTTGTGGCTCTCTTCCGACTCCCGCTTTGGATATTCCAGGGACCGGCCGCTCCTAGGCTCCGTGGAGCTTCGGCTCGCTGGCGTCCGGAAGCACGTGGGCGGCCGGAGGAGCGCCCGCTACTTCAGAAGGCGTTGGCCTGGAGTGGCCAATCAGCGCCTCCTAGATCAGGCGTCGAGGGGTTGGAACCCAGGAAGTTGCCGCCCCGGAGCCGCAGTGTGTCTGCATGGCAGATAGGAGGCGCTCTGAGGATGGTGTTGGAGGGGTCGGAGAAGGTCCGCCCCCTTTCAACCCCGGCGTCTAAATCCTTTCAGATGTCTCTTCGAGGCTTCTCTGCTTTGCTTGTAAAACTGGAAGGTGATGCAAGCATCCCAGTTCAGATCCTGGGTTCATTTCTTCTGGGCATGTTCAGTTATCCACTGTCCTAGGCCTGGAAAACATGGACTGGGATGGAGGGAATCATTTGGGATAGTTTGTGGTTGAAATGGAAAAGACAGATTCAAGTACGGGGAGCATTCCGTCCTTCGTTGCTGCTTCTCCTGTACCCTCCTGTGCTGGGACCGCCTTCTACTTGAGGGATCCCAGTCCATTCTGAGCTGGCAATCTAGTTAGAGCACCTGTTTGGAGTCAGAATTTCTAGTGGTGTTTCACTTGGAGCTGAGTTGGGGAAAATCTCTCAATTTTCCCATTTCCTTGCTGGCCCAGGGTGACCCGTTTGCCCTGATGTGTGCTGTGGAGCAGAACAGGCAAGGTGGCTCATGACTCCGACTCACTGAAACTTCCGATGACCACACTTGACTGTGGGGCTCCAGATTCCACCTCTGGCGGTGGGCAAGTGCTGTGAGCCCAGTAAAGAGCAACCGGAGACCCGAGGTGTGGGATTGGAAAGATACAGAGTACGGGGCTAAGAAAGATGGTCAGATCACTGAAGCAGCTCTGCCTTCTGCTATGAGTTTATGAACATTTATGGTTATAGATGTTGGAGCAATGGGGTCCCGTGAAGTTTTTGGAGTCGGGCAATATCTTTGATTCACGGATGGGACTGGGAGGAAGACGGGTGTCCAAGTGACCCGCTTCCTCTGATTTTGGGGGCTTAGCTCGAATCTGTGCCATGCTCTTGTTTTGTTATTATCGCAACCATGTCATTCCGGGGATGACCCAGAATCCTTGGTTGCCTGTGGGGCTCTGACTCTCCACTCTTTCCAAAGGCCACTCAGAGCTGCGAGGGCACACACCGGGCTGGAGCTAACGTCTTCCACACTAACATATTTGGCACTGCTTGTCCCCTCCTGGAATTGAACTTCCTCCTTTCCCAGCCTTCTCCTCCCACCACCTGGTTTCTCTAGGGAGGTCTTTGGCCTGAGTCTGCTTCCTTGCACTCATTCTTCCAGCTGAGGTCTGTGGAGCTGCCACTGCCTGGCCCCTACACACACTGCTTGAGTCATGGGGAAACTGCAGAGGAGGTGGCTTCCACCTCTGCGCACAGACCAACTCGGCAGTCAGATTGCTGGGGGAAAAAAAAGCAATGGCCAAGAACAGGATATCTTAATGGGCAAAGCAGCTGTTGGCCCATCTGCTACCTGGGATGCCCCTGTGGAGGTCACTCACGGCTTCTAAAGTAACAGACCTCAGTCTCCACTGCTTAGTGGCTAGGCTGACTTTTGGAACCAGCCATAGAAAGAGGACTCCTGCTGGGAACATTGGCCACACCATCAGAAGGATTTGCCTTTTGAAGAAGCAATCAAGCAGCGTGACAACTTCTGTCTGTCAGTGGTGTGTGCTAGACCTAGGGGCTATGTTAACCATGCATAATGGGGACAAGATGCACGAGCACTTGGGTCAGAAGCAGTGATGGGCAAGATGTGACTTTTAGAAGCTGTCTTTTTCTTAGGCGGCTAGAGGGCGAAGCCAGAAAGTTGGGAGGCTGTGTTGGCAGGACCAACATCCAGGTACGTGCTTAATGCTTTAGAATGAACATGTCTCTCTTTCTTGCCTCCTTGCCAGTGCAGACTTTAGGGCTTGCCACGTTCTCAGGGTCTTAGGAACTGCTCATTCCTCAGCTCCCCTGGGGAAGGTACAGTATGTGATGAAAACAGAGCGTTCAGGTGCTCTTTCTAGACTGAGGCAGATGTGGTCTTGGGGAACCTGGACGAGTCTCCTTTTATTGTACTTTGTAAGGGTTAGCAGGAACCCTTTAACTCTGATATGAGCTTCCCTGATTATTATTATGTTGGTGTAATCCATGCTTTTTCAAACTAAAATTGAAATATACATATATACACACACATATACATACTTATTTCTATGAAGATAAATATATACAGTTGATCCTTGAACAACATGGGTTTGAACTGCATGGGTCCACTTGCGTGTGGGCTTTGTTCGATGCAGCACGGTACTCTAAGTGTATTTTCTCTTTTGATTGTTTTCATAACATCTTATTTTCTCCAGCTTACTTTATTGTAAGAACACAGTTCATAGTACATCCAGCATACGAAAATACGTGTTAATCGACTGTTACCGGTAAGGCTTCTGGTCAACAGTAGGGTATTCGTTGTTTAAGTTTTGGGGAGTCAAAAGTTGTATGTGGATTTTCGACTGCATGGGGGGCCAGTGCCCCTAACCCTTATATTGTTCAAGGGTCAACTGTATGTAGTTTTTTTGGCTAAGAAGTTTTTAGAAATGTGCTTATTTTGTTAATTGCCTTTTGCTTAGAATGGATGTCGAGCTGTCAGATGTCTTTAGTCACCTATTCCTTGGTCCCCCCAAAACTCTGAAAAATGGCTACTGACTCTGACTGATAGTACTGTAGCCATAGTTTTCACAGGGAGGAAGCAGGAATGGGTCAGGCTTGGTCAGACTGTATTTCTTCCCATGAAGAAGAGGTGAGCCCAGTTCCTGGAGAGCTCCAGGTGCCAGGTACTTGAAGGGAGGACAGTAGGGACATCAGGACTACCAGCACTGGGGCTCCCCCTTCCATCCACCATCATCGGACTTGCTGTGTGTGTGAAAACAAGGCTGGGCCAGGCTATGGGGAGATGCTGCTTTCCTCTTGGCAGGGAGAGGGAGGGACGTGGGGTGTTGAAATCAAAACACTAGGAAGACATGACCCAGGGAGGAGCCTTTGCTGTGTGCAAAGGAGAAAAAAAAATTGATCATACAACAAGTATTTTGACAATTTGAGGAGTTTACTTAAAGATTCAGAGTAAGTTCATGTTCCTGGAGAAGGAACACACATCTGATTTTGCAAAGCAATCAGTCTCCAGACTCATAACAGCCGGGTGAGGTCAGCACGGGATTGGAACCAGCATTGGCAGAGAACTAGAGCCAGTCTTTCAGGGTGGACATTCGTTTCTTTTTTGTTTTCTTTTTTTAATTTTAATTTTTATTTATTTGACAGAGAGAGAGATCACAAGTAGGCAGAGAGGCAGGCAGAGAGAGAGGAAGAAACAGGCTCCTGCCAACAGAGAGCCTGATGCAGGACTCGTCCCAGGACCCTGAGATCATGACCTGAGCTGAAGGCAGAGGATTAACCCACTGAGTCACCCAGGCGCCCCTGGACATTCATTTCTATGAGATGAAAAATGTTTCTACGGCTTCTTGTTGTGGTGGGCGGCAGGAATAGGGTATTTGGTGCTGGGACATAGTAGGTCTGCATGTCCCTCTGTCTTCTCTCTCTTTACGTCTGATGCCTCTGCTCTTGGGTTAACTTTGTGGTATACTAGTCTTCATGAATTTGTTCTACATTTTAAAAATACTCATTGAGCATCTGTTATTTCCAGGTATTGTCCTGGGCTGTGGAGGTACGGATATTAAGATGTGACCTCTGGCTCTCAGGAATTCACTGAATATCAGGGAGCCTGACAAGGAAATAGCTTGGTATACTAGGGCATGTTAAGTGCCATGAGGGAGACACAGGCCCTCTGTCCAAAGTCCAGTGGGGAGGCATTCTCCTTGCGGCTGGAGCCAGGGAAGCCCTCCGAGTTGGGGTGGTGGCGTGGGGCGAGGGACAGGTGGCAAGAAGGCACTGGGATCAGAGCTGGTGGTGATGGGAAAGGAAGCTTGTCTCCTGTCCTGCAGGAGGTCCTCTCTTCCATCCCACCATCTGCTTTGCTATTTGTAACATTTTCTCCTTTGAACCGACTTTGTCTTGTGGAATTTACAGTTTGTGGTTTTTCTGTCCGTTTATTCCTTCCTTTGTGTTTATTCTGTTGTGCTTAGTACCACTGTGGACCGTTCCCTGGTCCCCTCCTCCCCTCCCCATTTCTTCTGTGCTCTCTTTCTCCTCTTTTGAGATTCTCCAGGGCCGTTCTCTGTCATCTCTCTCTTCTCTTTTGTTTCCTTCATCCAATGTCCTCACCTTTCTGCCTTTTGGTCTCGAGCTTGGCGCATTCCTTCTTGTTCTGGCCTTGAGTTGTACTACGTTTTGTGGGACTGGTAGGCGGGGATGTACATGTATTCTATACTGTGCAGAGTGGGACGGCAGCCTGGAACCTCATTTGACATAGAGTCAGTTCTTTCTGTAATAAACGGCTTGCCACGTGGCGCTGAAGTTTAGTGTTCAATGAAAATGTTAATAAAATGATAATATGCTTTTTATACATATCTCCTAATACAATACAGAGAATCATAATTGTGTCAGGATCTTTTTTGAAGTCAGGCCTTGGAAGATATTAGCAGAGAGCGGCATCTGTAGTTTCGGTATGTAAGAGTTTGTAAATCTTTACCACTGAATGGAAACTCAACACTACTTCTAGGCGGGAGGAGAAAGAGAGAGGAAGGAGTGGAATACTGTTGCTCCCTGACTTGGAAGGCCTTCTCCCTCCTTCTTTGACTTGCACCAAATAAGAAAGCCTGTATTAATCATGGAAGATGGGGGAGGAAGTTTGGAGGA